ATATTAATATTTTTATAATAATTTATTAGAATATCCTAATTTTGAAGTATTTTTCACCTTTTTTTTGTAAGTCTAGTAAATAAATAATAATCTCCTATAAAATATAATTTATTTTTTGAAGTGATTATGATATTAATGAACTTTCAATTAAAATATCAAATCTAATTGTTGAATTGATAAAATATAAATTATACAAAAAATTACAACTAATGTAAATTTTTTTTCATACCCAAATAAAATTATTTGTCTTAAAAATTGATTATAAAGAAAGAAATGGTCCTTTTACATAACTCCTAAATATTTTCTTTAAATTTAAAATTAATTAAGGTCCTTATAATTCAAACATTAAAAACAAATTTGTACTAATTAAAAATTAATGTACTAGATTAAACACTTTTCAAAAGATTAGGGGGGCGGCTGCCCCACCTTGTCCTATGGTACTATGGTAGCTCCGTCCCTGGTCACGAGAATCATTTATTATCCATTTCCGTATTATGCAATACATTGAATTGGGAACGATGGATTTTGACGAAGTTCCATGTTAATTAATGCGCATGAACTCCAAAACAAATTGATATAGTCGTTGTTCTTAATTTTAATTTAATGTTTGCAACGTACATGTGACTTTCAGGAGCTGTTTTTACATAAACCCTTGTGTTTCATAGCATCCTCTCCTGCTGGTGTTAACCAATAAAAAGGAAAAGAGTGCTGCAGTGCAGTTTGCCTTTAATTATTTATAGACAAGTGAGTTCTTAATATTAAGTAACCTCACTCTTCTTTTTAATAGTTATAAAAAGTACAATTTGCACTAAATAAAGCGCAGTTGGCACAAATTAAGCGCGGACATCTTTCGCATTAGAGGATTCGGAGCTTCCAAGAACACGCATCAAAGCGAGAGCACAGTGCTTGTCTTCCTCAAGTTAAGAAGGACCACCTTGTTGCACTTGGAAAAAAGGGCGGACCTCTTTCGCATTAGAGGATTTGGAGCTTCCAAGAACACGCGTCAAAGCAACAGCACAGTACTTATCTTCTTCAAGTTTGTCAAGAAGGACCACCTTGTTCAACAACTAGCATTTTGGCTGCACTAAAGGAAGGAAAATAAAATTGAAATTGAGAAGGTAATCAACGTTCAAGTGGGACAGATTAATTTTACATAGAAAAATTAAAAGAATGTATCTTTTATGAACGTTAAATGTAATCTTGAATTTAAATTTTATAAATTCAGAAATTAGTATTATGAAAGTTTATTTATAAGATCTAACTAAAAATACTCAGGTAGTATTCAAATAACCTTGGCAATCTATGATACACTACTAGCATATTAGTGCCCATGTCCAAAAAGTAAAATTAATACGATTATCAACAAATGAGGAATGAGCAAAAGTTATCAGAATCTGATCTTCATTGCACTATCTTAGATAAACCAGTCAATATCTCTCCCCAGGGACTATGGAGAGATGCGGTGAGGGAGGGCTCAGAGATGCGTAGTGTGTGATAATAATAATAATTATTATTATTATTTTAAATTAATTAGTACAATTGAGATAAGAAAGATAAAATTATTAAATTTTAAATTTTAAACTTTTAAATATTACATATCTTTTAAATGAGTTATAATTGTTAGGCCACGATAATGGTTAGATATGTATAATAATTAAAGTTCTCACTTGTGGTGGGGAAAAGTTGAAAGAGACAATTCTCAACTCTTTTTAGGCACAATTTAAAAGAGACAATCTTAACTCTCTTTAGGCAAAATTGCC